CTCTCTCTCTCTCTCTCTCTCTCTCTCTCTCTCTCTCTCTCTCTCTCTTCTGCAGTGCATTAATTCGCTTGGCCATAGTAGCGGCCCGACTTATCGATGTTTATATTTTACTCAAATATTATCAACTTTATAGAAAAACTGCAAAAGAGACAAAAATTATTTATTTTCTTCTTATAAAACTCTAAGACTTTTTTCAGAATTTTTTAACTTTTTCAACTTTTTAGTACTGCATTTTCTTATTTTCGATAAGTCGGGCCGTTACTATGGCCGGTATTCATAGTTGAGTCTTATTTCAAGACCGTCTTAAGTAATGTCTTAAGACTCTCTCTAATGCAGCCTTCTGATTGGTTCGTGACTTCTTAAGACCGTATTTAAGACGGTCTTGAATGATCTGACTATGAATATATGATCGGCCTATGACCCAGCGAATTAATGCACTGCACTGTATTTACAAACCGGCCACAGTGCAATCTCTGTGGAATGGCGCGATTCAATTTTAAGTATCCCAAATTAAATCCGTAAGTTTAAACTTTATTAAGTTTGTATGAAAAATGTATTATAGATTTAATAATAACAAAATCTATTTTTTTGTTTATTGGCGTTTTCTTTTAAGATTAATTTAATGTCTATTGACAAATGTCTTGAAGATATTGAACCAGTGATAATAAAGATCTTTCTATAAATTACTGAAATTAATCAAATGATAAAATCTTATGATTTATTTTTAGTATCAGGCATCTTTTTATTCTTTAGACTTTAGAGAATATTGAATTTATATTTTCATGTTTCAGACTACGAAATGCAAACTTGTCAATTAAATTCGTCACCAACACCACCAAGGAGTCAAGTAATTATTTGTATGAACGTCTGATAAAACTTGGATTCGATTTACGGAAAGAAGAGATTTTTAGTTCTTTAGTAGCAGCGAGAAAATTAATTATCTCTCAACGATTGAAACCGATGTTGTTAATTGATCCAGCAGCAATGGAAGATTTTCAAGATTTAGTAACAGACAATATACCTAATGCAGTTGTGATTGGTTTAGCACCAAGCAAATTCAACTATGAAGAACTGAACAAAGCATTCAGGTAATTTTGCATCTTCTTTTTCATCTGTATCCTATAAACATGTATATTTTAACGTGGTATTTTAGATTGCTTTTGGATGGTGCTTCCCTCATAGCCATTCACGAAGGACGATATTACAAGCGTCCTGATGGTCTGGCTTTAGGTCCTGGGCCATTTATCAAAGGACTGGAATATGCTAGTAATACAAAAGCAAAAGTTGTTGGTAAACCGACCATAGAATTTTTTAAGACAGCTTTAGAAGAAACAGATACAGCACAGGCTGTCATGATTGGAGATGTAATATTTTGAATCATATCATGTTTCCTTTTTTGTATATTATAATCTTTTTACACATTTACAAATATTAATCTTTTTATAATTAGGATGTAAGGGATGATGTAGCTGGTGCACAGGCAGCTGGGATCAGAGGTATTCTGGTACAAACTGGGAAATATAGAACAGGAGATGAGAATACAATTATTCCGGGACCAACAAGAGTATGCGCTTCTTTTGTAGAGGCTGTTGACAGTATTCTCAGTGAAAATATTTAAAGATTTGTGGTTTGACAAAATAAGTGCATAAATAGCAATAGAATTCTTTATTCAAGTATCGCTGCGCGATGCAATCTCTTTTCTATATTATATAAATTATATTTTATTAAATACTGATTATTTTATAGTGTACATAGTCTGGAGTGATGCCATATTATTATAAAACAGACGCAATAAATACAAATAGAAATTAATATCAATTCTTTTCTGATATGGAGCTTTATGTCATTTTGCCTATTAATGTAAGTATTGATAGAGAATAGTAATGTATTATAAAGATAATCAGATAAATATGAAAGTATTCAAGGATAGAAATATCGTCTCGTTGTACATTTGTAGAAAATTGTAGAAAATTTGACTTGATCAGTTTGACATTGAAAAGTTTGATAATTTACACGTCGGGACAGTAAAATGTAGTATTTTACAAAGCAATCTGCACACAAGCATTCGATCTTTTGCAGAGACGATATTAGTCCATAATCTTAATAGTTCTAAAAATTATAAATTTAATCTTTCGCTACGTAGCCTTATGTCATAAGTAGTACCATTGTAGAACCTGCACCTAAAACAGGTTTACAAAAAGAAAATGCTGTTTATTAAAAATGTACGGTGCTTTGCGAGTATCGTTTTTCATATAAAATTTGGCACCCAAATTTGCTGTTTTGTTCTTTAAATCTCGTTTCTTTTTACATAGATAGAAGAAAGATGAAATCGATATTTTGATTTTTACACTATTAACGTTCTCAAATTAATACTTCGTTTTTCTGCGCAAAAATAACATGTCTGTGAATAAAACGACTAAATTTATTACCTTTTACGAAATGAAATTATATGCTGCCTACTAGAAAATACATAATAAAACAGATAAAAATTCATAATAATATGGTAGCTTTTATAATTTATCATTGATAATGTAAAAGAGAAATATTAATATAATATTATGTATCTTGTAACTGTATGGGCTGTTTAAATATCAATACAAGCCATGATTAAAATGCCCTCTGTAACTTATGATCTATGATCAGGCACATCTCGATTGCTCGCATTTTGGTAACAAATGTCTAAAATAAGTGCTTTAAAAAAATAAAGAATGATTACTCTTGATTCATGCGAGAAATCTGTATAGAGAATAGTAATATATACATTTTCAGAGAACTATGCAATGAACTGACCAATTAATTGATTCTCGTTATGTAAATAAAAATAATCGTTATGTAAATAAAACCATATCAATTGTAATATCGTTGTAATAAATTGAAATAATTTCAGATCGAAGACAATGTACAATTTTCATTACTTGTCATACATCATGTCGAGATATTAAAAAAATAATTATACTTTCGTTATATAAAATATATATATTATATATATATATATATATATTCCAAGATTTAATAACAATTAAAAAAATATAAGTTCACTGCACAATTTCTTTTGAAATAACCCGTGTAAAGATAACAAATAAGGCATTCTTAACTAGGATGATACAATTTTTACCAACCATGCATCCATTTCACTCGGTCAAGAAATGTTCTCTTTCTCTCTCATAGTATCTTGACAATACATATTTCGATCGAGAAAGTAAGCAGTAGCAAATAATTCTTAATGTATATAAAGCATTTAACATTACCAAACCAAGGTAAACCGAAGCTTGATAATAGATAAAATTGCAACGTATATTATCCAGTTAAAATGACAAAATATTATTTACAATTATAAAAAGATTACTCTCATGTACATACATTTTAATAACGCAAACAATATTGTATCTCACGGAGCACATTAAAAACTAGTATAGTTTCTCTCTTGACAATTGAAATCTTTGCAGTAATAGCAAATATTATTGGCTCTGAGTTGTTCGCACAATAAGATCTGTTAAATTTTTATCCATACGGCATACTGTATTATTAATGGACATTATTCACAGTCGTGTTCGCGTATATACAATTTATAATCTAGAAAAAATCGAATGTTAACTTAAGAACAACTATATCATTTTTATTAATTATAAATCTTTTTAAAGATCAAATTCTGTTAAATACTGTAATATCCTTCGATATTACAATTATATTCTCAATGGTATTTATATAGAACCTTATAAAATTTAATTTTTGGTGTTAAATATACATAATTGGTATGTATATATATATATATATATATATATCCCATATTTATATCTTATTAGCTTTGACCAGGACAGAATTTGATCTTATTACACTGCAGACAAATACATTCTCTTATTTCCCATGAGCAATAGGAAATATTGAACTTCTCTCTCTCTATATATAATTTGGCTATTCAAATATAATTTGATTAATGGTAAATTGACATATCTTTCTTCTCTCTTTCATATATATTTATATATATATGTATATGTATATATTTCTTCTTTTCGCTCTCTAATATAACAAGGCAGGTGTGGAATACACATTTTGCATGCATGCATATAACAAAACGTATAATTTCTTATACCTTCAATAAATATTCAATACTTTTATTATAATACTAAAAGAAGACGATTCTATGTACTGATTACGAAATACACAGCTAAAATAGGATTAATAGAGGAAATTGTTTTGAGAAGCATTTGTGAGGATCACCTGGATCCATTAGACCTAACGAAACAACAATTTTCTCGGCCATGCGGTCTATCCCCTTTTTCTGTAGTTGTGCTGTTTTTTTTTGTAGTTGTGTCATGCGTTTTTAATGATACTTTTGAAGTGGGAAGACGATATATGGCTGACAACAAGACTTTAAACTCTACATCCAGGTACAAAAAGCATGATATTCTCAAGCAGATTAATCAGGGGTAATGCTCTGTTGTGTGAATTTGGCCGCAGGATGCAAGTGTATAAAAGTGAGCAATTTACATTAATACTTCCACACATTATTGCCTTAAAATTTTACATTATGTTCTAATACTCTAAATACGCCTCGCTTTCTTTCGCTCCTGCCTCAACATCACACGAAACGTTCGTCAAATCCAGGTGATCATTTCCTAAGAAGGTGGCACAAGGTACCATATTCTGCAAGTAGCCTATGTATTTTCCACTATTCTGAAATGGGTTCAATTTTGAATTTTTTTAAATCAATGAAAAAAAAAGTTAAAATATGTGTACAGCATACTTTACCATGGTATAAAACCAGGCACACTGTAAAGGTTCATGATGTAATGTTAATCCTAACTATTTAACAGGACGATAATGAAGTGTTAAATCCGCCGAACTTTTCCAAATGAAATGTCTAACCTGGGGGAAACAGAGAAATACATGAAAAAAACATTCTCTCAACGATTACAAAAAGTTTACTCAGGTAATACATACTGTTCTCAAATCCATTGAAGGATCCAAGACTTGATCGTTACATAGGAGTTCGACTTTTTCTTCAGCCAATGAAGAATTATCAGCATTAGAGTCTGTATTCGTCCTATCGCCTGCTGGAGATCCGCTGGAAACTGTATTTCCACCGCCAGCCACTGAACCTGAATCGCTTCCTGCACCGAGTACTTTATCGTAAACATGTTCGGCCACTTTACGTACTTGTATAAAATCATTGGCTATTAAACGATCCCTTAAAGATAACAGAAAATTACTAATTTGTCATTGCGCGATTTGGAGAATTAAAGTTAAATTAAAATGCATACTTCTTCAAACTTTTTACACCTGAAGAAGCGTGTGGAAGAAGATAAAAAGGTATTTTAATAAACTGGGGAAGATTCTTGTCCACGACGATATTCACTACCCATGGTGGTACGGTTTCGTTTAATAGGACACCTTCAGTTTCTCCTGCAGCATCTCGAACCAATAGTCTGTAGATGGTTCTACCTCCCACTTCACTGAAAAGCAGCATAATATTATAATTTAGTTAACGAAACATTGCTTCCTGTACAATACTCTTTGCATACCTAAAGATGACAGGTGTATGACTAGGAACTGAGAAGTATGGATTTCCTCCTCTCGTGTGTTGTAAAGGACCATTTCCATCATTGCCATTACCCTCATTCTCGTCATCTGCATGCAATGGTCTCCACCAGTGTTCGAGTAATGCTTGCAGCAAAAGGTTTCCATAATTTACTAAAAATAGAAAGGATATTAAATTTCCCGAATCATATCGTAAATATTACTAATGAAACAGCTAATCACCTTTCTGATCTACAGCATCGTTCTCTGCTAGACCAGTTTCTTTGGCAGAAACCCATGCAGAGAAACAATCATTTTCGTCTTGCCCTAAATGTATAGTTAACATCTGCAATGATAAAAAAAGTTTAGAACCGATTTAGCCTTTGGAAACATTGATTTATCAAACAAAATCCCCTGTTTTGAGACATACCCCTGTTTTGAGATCGACGTTAAACCAGTTTGGAACATATACCATTTTGTTTCTCTTTTTACACTCCTGCTCGAAATCAACTCTGCCTAAATCTTCTATTTTACATGCCTTTAGTACATCATATAGTGCAACATTTTCTTCTGTATCCTTTGTCAAAACATGTCTTTTATCATTTAATATATGATAATGTCTTATGGCAGGACCACCCAATATTTTCTGTGTAGGTTCGGTATTCCTTAAAATATTGCCCGATACATTACTCGCGGAATCACAATAATCTCCTATTCCTAATTCTTGCCAATCTTTTTGGCTTATTGGCTGAAATAACAAAAAATATTCTTTATAATTTGTTTTTTTTCATGCAAATTCGTTAAATTATGAAACTTTGTTTACCCAATTATTTATAGTTGATTCGCTGGTGGCTACCCAAATACTAGATTGATCCGGTGTCATAGCCATTTTGAGTATAGGTGCCTTTTCTTCGCAAATGACTGTATATCTTTCTGCATAGCTTAATTCTGTCATTACTACCCTCTTATCCCTGCCTCCAGATATTACATGGCTAAAATTATCTGTTGCCTAAAAGACATTAGATTTGATGCAATAATCTGTATAGTAATTATTAATATAATGAAAAACTTGCATATGTAATTGTACGTGTAATTACCAATAACGCCCATACTCCTTCTTTATGAACTCTAAATGTTTGCACACATCTCTGTTGGCCAAGCGACCACAATTTAATAGTGCCATCGGAACTTGCTGATAAACACTGTGTTCCGTCCCTGTTTAAGACTAATGCTTTAATATTGTCCGTGTGACCACGAAGTTTCATGAGTTTGGTACAAAATCGTGGATCCCACACTCGAAGAACTTTCTCCGTGCTACCACTCACGATAATTGTGCCAATCTGATTCATGGCAAGACTGTATATAGAGTCTCTGTTTCCACTCAGGGACGAAGCTGTGACAAGATACACATGTTTTAAGGATATTTAATTACATATAAAAAACATATATGTATGACAGTCAAGATGCACGAACTACATACTTGTGACTGTATTATTACTCGCAGTAAGAGCAGTTAATGTATTAACATCCCATAGAAATATTGACTTGTCTAGACCTGCGCTAGCAACTTGCTCTCTATCTTTGGCATATGCTAATGCTTTAACGTAATCCTTGTGCGTGCGCAGGGTAGACATACAGAAACCTTTATGCGCATTCCATACCTTGACAGTAGTGTCAGAACTTGCAGATATAACTACACAGAATTGATAAGATGATTATCATATCGAGATCGATACAGTAGAAATTGGAAATAAAAAAAATGTTATATTTAATATAGACATTTACTCTTAAAATATCATAAAAATTAAGTCAAATAAAAATATTGTATGAGTGTGCACTTACGATTTTTGCCACTACAACATAGCACTATATCATTAACCCAATCAGTATGATGTTCCATAGATTGGATATATGGTTCCTTCATATTTCTACAATTCCATATCCTTATGATACTGTCTCTACCAGCGGAATATAGCCTGTGCAGAGCTGGGTCATACTGTAAGGAATTAACACCAGCCCTATGCTGCTTCTCTACTTCATCTCTTATAACCATAGACACCTTTACATGAAAAGTGATTTAAAATTAATATAGTCCTTCTCACTCTGTTGGCAACTTGTGAAAACTCAATGAAAGTCATCATTATCAATCTTCATGGGTGCTTTCTATTTAGCATCATTCTATCTTTTTCGACATTCAGTGAATAACAAAAATAAAATGACACTTGTGTCGACTTGTCTCCAAATGGAAAGCATCCAATGAGTGCAATCAAATGTTGTAAACGTACTTCACAATATATTCTGATATATTATTGAATTTAGTTTTCTCTCTCCCAAGAGAGAGAAAAACTCAAAATGTAATTAAACTTTGTTAATTAGTACCAAAGAATCAAAACTTTTCTAGCATTTATAAGCATGATTCTTAGCACAGAAAACTATTTTATTACACATGTATTATTATATGACTATAAGACACAGTTTCGTGAGGCATCAGTCAAGGGAATCGACAAGTTCCTCGTAAATCTATCGGCGGTACCTGTCAGTGAATTATACCTGAACTTTCTTACGGGCGGTCTGCCCGCCCGTCTTGTGAGCTGCCATTGCGCCCGGGACCGCTTCGTCCGGCGTCTCGACGTCGACGTCCCGATCGCGCTGAGGGGAGAAGGAAAACACGCAGAAGTTTGGACGTGAAAGCGATGTGAACAGCGTATGTTGCACGATTCAAGCTGCGACAGCAGTTCCACGTTGCACACGACCGTTATTACTCCGCACTCGCGGTGTTATTGACATCGTCATCGTCGTCGTCGTCGTCGTCGTTGTTGTTAGTATCGCCGATTTCACCGTCGAATGTCGCATGGCATCATCATCGTACTCATTGCATTATTCGTCGACGACACAGCGTGCGAGACAAGCGACAGATCCCACAGTAGCGGTACATGACCGAGGAGAAACGACCGCCGCGATTTCCTCAGATGACACTTACGAGCGTGAAACCCCGTTCATGACGGCCGTGCGCGCACCACGCTCGTAGCGATCACCGCTGGCTGCTACTTCACTGCCTACTCCCGTTCTGTACCGTGTGATTCCGTGCCGCCGGCGTCAATGCCGTCAATATGCCTCAGTATGTATGTATGTACGCACGTAACGTTACATCACGAGGCTCCAACGAGTGATCGCACCGTTCAAGTCAGCTCATTCGTCGCGTCTTGTTGACGACGCTCAGAAATACGTGATTCGGCCAGGCTAATGAATCGGCCAATCGTAGATGAAGATATTCGCAAAGACGCAGGTTGCTGTTTTGAAACTCTTGGCTACAATTGGTCGAATGGCTCGTGCTGAAAACGGAACAGCGTAAAGTTTATTGAAGTTTACGTAGGAATATTCAGGAATATTCTATATGAGAACATACTGGAAGGAATATTTTGAAATATTCTATTTAAAATGACTTTGACCAAAGTTCTTTATTTAATTAAATGTTTGATAATAAAAAATTAACAATTAATTTATTTCTATTATCAAAGTAAAAGAGTATTACGGTTTCAGGTATTACTTGATAAGTTGTTCAAGGGAGCTTCTCAACAAGAGACACGCACAGATGATACAATAGTTAAATCATTATGTCCTTGTTATATTGTGATCAAAGGCAGGGTCTATCAGTATGGAAGAATGAGTGTGGATAAGTTTTAATTGTAAACCAAGTCCCTTCTTGGCTATTTGTAAAATGCTGAAGTAAATAAATCTATCTACATTATGTCCTTGTTGTTCGCTAATGTTAAACAAAGATGAAATTAATACTTTCCAATAAGCTGTTTAACAGCTTGTTGGAAAGCTCTTCAAGAATATTTGCTCATTAATTGTGAAATTCAAAATGATGAAAGATTTTTAAGAAATATATATCTTTTCTATGCATCTTCCCTATAAACGCACAATATTAATATTAATTAGTAACATTTCAGGCATATTCTTAAAATATTAAATGTAACGTTTTAATAACATTTCATTAAAATTATATAATATCAAAATAATATTTCTAAAATATTAATGGATGGTTATGGCTAAAATCATTTTCAGTCTTCAAACGTAATCTTAAACCGAACTGGAGTAATAGGCTTTCTACAATAAGTCGCAAGTCAGAACGTCAGAA